ATAAAACTTTTCTATCGTAATATAAAAAATCCTTTTAAAAATAAAATCAGCAGTTTGAAAAGCTCCGAAAATAATATCTTACCATCACCGAGAGAATTACAAAGTTACTGGTCTACAATATGGGAGGAACCTAAACATTATAATACAGAAGCGGATTGGATCAAAAATCAAATAGACACATCACAGATTAAAGCCATGCAATTCCAACACATCAAGATAGACACTTTCCATAAAGTAATTAAAAAACTGCATAATTGGAAAACACCTGGATCAGATAATATACATAACTATTGGTATAAAAAGTTTACAACTATCCACCCGATTCTGTTTAATTTTGTTAATAAATTCATACAAAGCCCAGATACTTTGCCGCAATACATTAGTGCAGGAATAACGTATATGATACCAAAAGAGCCTAGTAATCTTGACAATCCTGCAAAATATAGACCTATCACATGTTTACAAACATTGTACAAAATAATTACATCTTGCTTAACTGAAACCATTTATGAACACATAGAAGCTAATAACATATTGTCAGAAGAACAAAAAAGGTTGTAGGAAATTTAGTCAGGGTTGCAAAGAACAGCTCACAATAGATGCAGTAGTATTAAAGCAGGTACAATCAAAAAGAAAAGATTTATTTAGCATGTACATTGATTATAAGAAAGCTTACGACTCAATCTCGCACACTTGGTTATTAAAAATTTTAGAAATATACAAAATACACCCAAACATAATACAATTTTTACAGGCTGCGATGACGAATTGGACAACGAAACTTAAAATTAACTCACTAGATGGAATAATAGAAACAGATATTATTGCAATAAGGAGAGGTATTTTTCAAGGGGATGCACTTAGTCCTCTCTGGTTCTGCCTTGCAATAAATCCCTTATCACAAATGTTAAACTCAAAAAACATAGGGTACTCTTTACAATACCATAGAACACAAGATCATCTACATACTAACAAGGAAGAAAAAAAACTTAGTCATCTTTTGTATATGGACGATCTAAAACTATATGCTACTACTCAAGATGAATTGGATCAATTAGTTATATTAACGGAAAAATTTTCACGAGATATAGGAATGGAATTTGGTATTGATAAGTGCAACATTAATTCAGTAAGAGCTGGACAGTATTATGAACATAACTATCAGTTGCAAACAGGACAGCAAATCAAATCTTTAGAGGAAAATGGAGTGTATAAGTATTTAGGATATAATCAGTCTAAACAAATACATCATAAAGAAATTAAAAATACATTAACAGATCAGTTTCGATATAGACTTCGTTTAGTATTAACATCTCAATTAAATTCTAAGAATATATTTAAAGCTATTAACACGTTTGCAATTCCCATACTAACTTATTCCTTTGGCATAATACACTGGTCCAAAACTGAACTAAAAAAGCTACAACGCGAAATAAATACATCTCTTACGAGGCACCGTAAACACCATCCAAGATCATGCATACAAAGACTAACATTGCCACGAAATGAAGGAGGAAGAGGGGTAATAGACATAGTTAACTTACATAACAGACAAATAACTACACTCAGAAATTACTTTTATGATAAAACAGCAATATCATCACTACACAATGCCATAGTACAGAATGATCATAAATTGACACCGCTTAATATGCATGATAAAACATTGCAAAAAAATGAGTTACTTACAGATAACAACACAAAAATTGACATATGGACCCAAAAGGCTCTACATGGAAGACATCGCCATGATTTGAACCAACCTACCGTAGACAAATTAGCGTCGAACGCATGGCTTCAACGTGGTGAGCTTTTCCCTGAGACTGAGGGTTTTATGTGCGCAATTCAGGACCAAATCATAGAGACACGCAATTATCAAAAGCATATTATTAAAATAAAAAAATTTAATACCGACACATGTAGACGCTGTTGTAATGCTTCAGAAACAATTCAACACATCACTGGTGCCTGTAAAGCGATTGTTCAGACGGACTATAAGTATCGGCACGATCAAGTAGCCAATATCATTCACCAAAAACTTGCCTTTAAGTATAAATTAACTAACCAGCCAACTCAAGTATACTATAAATATAAACCAGAAATAGTCCTTGAAAATACCACTCACAAAATGTATTTTGACAGAGCTATACTTACTGACAAAACAATACACTTTAATAGACCGGATATAACATTAATAGATAAAGCGAATAAATGTGCTCTTATTATTGACATTGCTATACCTAATTCACATAACTTACAGACAACAATTAATGAAAAAATTTCCAAGTACACTGAATTAAAACATGAAATTATTAGAATGTGGAATTTGCATAACGCCATTATAGTCCCTATAGTCCTCTCTACAACTGGTGTAATACCAAAAGCGCTTCATCAATCATTAAAAACTTTAGATTTACCAAAACTAACATATATTCAATTACAAAAAGCAGTTTTACTTAATACTTGTAGAATAGTTAGAAAATTTATCTCTACAGAAAACTACCCATAACCAAACAAGTTCATGGTATCCACTTGGCTTTGTCCCGTGGTAATAACCATTAATCCAGTTTTGTTAAAAACAAACTGAGAAAACGTAGAAAATATAAATAACAATAATAATAATAATAAGTATAATAATAATAATAAAAAGTATAATAATAATAATAACAATAAAACAGAGGTGCACGCATTGCTACTAGCCAGTGAAAATACGTAAGAGGGTGGTCTGCAGGTGCACTCGTAGGAAGAACCCAGTCATACCACCTAGTGGATATTATCTCAAAAAGCTCTTGTAGCTTCCGACAGATGGCGATATTTTTATCTCTCTTATACGTAATAGAGTCATGCTGCAGCTGTATTTGGTTGTAGCACGAACGAGACCGCTTTGGTATGTAGCAGCGAGGCTAATCAACGCTAAACGGCAATAAATAATATATACCCTGCTGCTACCATAACACAGAAGGCGAAGAAAACATTTATTTCCTAACTACCCCCGGCTACTGAGATACTGCGGGCTGCATATCGATGCGAGATAATTTGACGCATATATTTAAAGTTCTAATATAGAAACAAGAAACAGCCCCAGATATCATCAGCGCCGCATCGTCTTCACACGCCGGCTATCTACATAATAGTTATAATATTTTGATTAATCTTTATTGGTCAGTATGTATGAACTAATTGGCTAGGAAAATAAAAATTGTTACTATTGGTAAACTAACGACGTAGCCGGATATATAAATATAGGCAGGGTTGGCCAAAAAAATATACTCCATACTCCATTCGTCTGCACATTTTTTTATTTTATTTAAAAAAACTCGTTAACGCTAGGTTTAAAACACTAAGTTAAAATTCAAAACAACATATACACACCGGCACAATTAGCGGAACGGAAAAAAAAGTGAGACTATGAGATAATAACGCATATATTTGACGAAAATGTAATTAGACACAAAACAACAAATTGATTAACATCTTTTAACAACGACTTTGAAAAGTCTTCGTTATTTTTTATTGAAAAATAAAGAAATTTGAAATAAGTGAAATTTTTAGACGATTATGAACCATCACAAAAAATAAAAAAAAGTAAGCATTAAATGATTTAACAATAAAATTAAAGCAAAATTAATAACGAGTGTTTCCCCCTCTTGCTCTGATTACGGTTTCCATTCGTCTGGGCATGCTACAGATTATGTTATCGATGATTTCTTGAGGCAACCGCTCCCACTCCTCAAGTAATGCGTTTCCAAGTTCATTCAGATTTTTGGGGGTGGCATTCTGGATTTAACCCTTCTTTTTAGCAAGTCCCAGACATGCTCTATCGGATTCATATCGGGGGAATTTGCTGGCCACTGCATCACCGGTATACCTACGTGGCTCAAATATGCCTGTACCGATTGTGCACTATGAGCACGAGCATTATCTTGCATTAGAATAAAGTCGTCACCAATAAATGGGGCAAATGGTACAACATGTTCTTCTAAAATGTCTCTGATGTATCGATCTGCTGTCATGGTCTCTCCTATGACTATCACTAACTCCGTGCGAGCTCCCAAACATATCCCTCCCCAAACCATAATCGAGCCGCCACCATAAGCCACTGTGTGTTCAAAATTAGACTGTATGTGGCGTTCTCCTTTGCGTCTCCATATTTGTTGTCTCCCATCGATCTGTTTTAAAAGAACTCTGCACTCATCAGTAAAGAGAACCTGCTGCCATTCGTTCAAATCCCAATGACGATGTTCTCGCGCATAGCTTAATCGGTTTACGCGGTGACGTCTCTCAAGTTTTGGGCCTTTGGCAGGTATATACGACCCTAAACCAACTTCTTCAAATCTCCTGCGAACTGTACGCTCACTTACTCGTACTCCTCGAACGTCTTCCAGTTCATTTCGAGCTTGTACAGCCGTTAATCGCGTACTCCTACGAACTCCAAGTTGTAAAAAACTGTCATCTCGCCTCGATGTACATCTTTTTCTACCTTGACCCCTCCTCCTCACAATAGAATTAGACGATCTGTACCGCTGGATGCTGCGATGAATCGTTGATACTGGTCGACGAAGCCTTGAGGCAATCGATCTGTAGGTATGGCCATTTCTTCTCATTTCATCAGCCCTAATGATTTCCAGTGATGTTAAGTCAGGCATAATAAAGAGCTTTTAATAAACAAAATTGCCTATAGAATAACAAATTCATAATAAACCATTAAGTGCAATTTTTCAAAAAAAAATTAGAATTACGTAATTATTACTCGAACAAGTTGACAAAACGTATTGTTCGGGAAAATAAAACAAATGAATGAAAAAGTGTATGTCATCTAATTTTCTATTTTCAAATTTGACAATAAATTAAAAAAAATATCATAACTGGCCAGTTCCTCAAGTAAAAGATTTTAAAATCCTGCTTTTTTTGTGTTCCGCTAATTGTGCCGGTGTGTATATAAGGATTTTATTAAGTGAATGCCTCACTAAAATGAATAATTTTAATAAATTATGTTTCAGATCCAGAGAATCCGCAGCCAAGCACTTCAAAAACTGATCTCGAGTCTGTCAAAGACGACGAATCAAGTAAAAAGGGTAGCTGCAGTTGAGCTGTCTCTCTCGAAAGAGGTCCCAAGGATCAAGCTGGACTTGCCCAAAGCTAAAGTAATCTCAAAAAGGTAAATAGAATTACTGAGCACTGAGTAAAGCCTCACCTTTACTTAGATAGTATGATGTACAATAGTAGCTTTAATGTAGTGGATATATTAAGGTAGATTTTGCAGTGTTTAGATGTATAAAAGGATATATATGTGATTTTCTTAGATTACAATTATTTTGTATAAGTTTTTAAAAACATATTCGAAAAAGTCGTATACAAAAAACATTGAAGTAATATGTACTATGTACTAGAAGAGACATCGCGACTTGGTTGTTCGCAACGGGTTCGAACTCACATATTTGCCATAAAAAGTAGCCTCCTACTACGCGCCGTGCACTATCAGACAGATTTTGTTCACGGTGTCTGCTCTAGTATGTAGTACAAATTACTTTAATGAATAAAAACAATTTATTTTAACACAAAATAATATGACAAGATAACAGCTGTATTTCTCACTGCATTAGGAAATTATTTGTTGTTGTTATGTCCAATAGTTTTATATTATTTTGGTTGTTTAAAACGCAGTGAAAAATGTACATTACAACTAATATATTAAAACAAAACGACTGCAGTGATTTATTGTTACGTTTTTCGAGCTTCGTATTAGTATTATTACCATAAAATGTAACTTGTGACATCCCGGCCGAGGATGAAGATAAAGCAAACAAAAACTCTTCAAAATTAGGACGGTTACGTTTTCTAGGATAGTTGTGTAAATAATACTGTTTTATTTTGCAGAGCTTTTGATTTTGAAGCATCCCTTGATTAGACTTTTAAGAGTACGCTAGTCTGTCATTTTTCCATACTAACGTAGGATGATTACTCCGGTAGAGTTTACAACGTACATCATCAATCATGTACGTCCAACATTCTCTATATCATGCTTGATATTGACTTATTTTGTCGTTATTTAGGCTTGTACGTAAGTAGAAGAGTAAAATAAGTAATTTGTAATAAATTTAATAATTTGATAATAAGATGCCTGGAAACATCCGTATTTTATACCTGATCTTATTGCAACTTTGTGCATAAATAAATAACATAAGATGTAGTAACATTAGGGTGTATAAAACCTCCAAAAATAATTTACATACAGGAATGGTTTATATATTCAAAGGAAGTTCTGTGCGTTTTCTGCGCCGTACAGCCAGTACAACCAGAGCCGTAAAGCCAGTTAATAAAGAAAATTCTCACACAAAGCTCGGTGAGACAGCAGACATTTTAGCTTTGCCTACGGCCGTTCGAGAAGTCAATCAGCGCAGCTTTAAAAGAACATTTTGATTTAAAAAATACAACAAATATATAAAAAATAGTAAGCTATATTTAGCTAATAGTAGCTAAATTAATACTAGAAACACTTTCCTTTACATTTTTAATTGCCTACAAATTTGACTTTTTCTATTTCTTTTAAAATATTCCTAAAATTTTTATACATTTGGCTGTTGGTCTATACTGCCATTTTTACGTAGTAATTGTTGAAAAATGTCAAATGTCAACTTGATCATCTTGAAAATAAACTTCATACATTTGTAGATAAATTCTTTTTGCAAGTGTTTTTGAGCTACGTATAATAAAACCATTTGTGATGGACTTTTGTTAGGCAACCGAACAATAATAAATAAACCGAAATAAGTATGTTTAGGAAAATTCTCAAGACTATTATACAGACCTTTGTTACCGTCTGGAAAAAATAGGGTGTAATATATGAACGTAATAGAAGAAGCCTATGGCACTGATATTTTACAAAAAATAAAAACAAATATTTGGAATTAAATAAATAAATTAATTAAAATCTATCGAAATTCAAGTCATATCCACCCTACTTTACGAACGGCAATAAAACTATAAATTTAGTGTGCATCTTTGGCCTTGTCACTTCGCAGGGTCACAGGCTCAAGGGCAAAGGGCTAAGTAATTGTTAAAAAAAATTATTTCACATGTTTGATTCAAAATTTTTGTTTTTATTTTTTGTAAAATATCAGTGCCATAGGCTTCTACTCCGTTCACATGTTACACCCTCTTTTTTCCAGACGGTAAAAAAGATCACCAGTATAAATAACTATAAAAGCTTACCAAATTGTTTTGATAAACCAATTTTATTCTTAAAATATGGTTTAATCGCTAACATACCTACATATGTAAAACTTTCTTGGCTTCAACAAGGCAGTTTTTTTTTGTATTTTAACAAGGTCTTGTTTGACAACACTGATCTTATTTCAAGTAAATTTTTAGGATTCCTGGTTATACTGATATAAGTTTGAAACAGTAAACTTATAAATAATTAAATACAAAACAATCTATCGAATGTATATATTTGCGTGACATTGGTTGTGAATATGTGCACTACTTTTAAAGTGCTATTTATTGTCGAGTGATTTTATCACGACTGCCTTTAACAAAATATCGATACATCGAATGTTTACGACTTTTCACTGATTATCAACGTTATTTTCCAAATATTTTCGGCTTTTAAAGAGAACGCTTGTCTAGCGTCACGGTATTCAATCGGTGATTAGACTCATCATTATATGTACTGTCACAATATAATATAAATATCATTAGACTGTTCTAATGATATTTATGTTACTTGAATACCTTTGGAACAATTATTTCCATGCTAGTATAGTTTTATTTCTATCAGTTAATGATAAAATTTCTATAAAATGTATTTAATTCGTAAAGAATGAATTGACACACCACTTGTTACATTATGCGTCTTTTTATTACTGACTAGGCTGCACCCTATGAATATGCCCATTTAAAATATTATTCTCAGTGTATGTAGCTTTTTTGATTGCATTATTACTCACGTTGGTGCAATAATTACTGTAGTGTTTATGTAAATATGTAATTAGATTTATCTATGTGTATGTTTGTATAAGGGCTCGGAACACCGACCTGGCAACATACAATTATCTATCACACTAATATTATAAAGGTAAATGTTTGGGTGTGAAAAGGTATATCTATTACCACTCAACACTGGAACAACTGAATGAATTTGATGAAACTATACTAATGTTAAACACTCGCTTCCCGCGCCACGGTGCTATCAATAGTTGGTTAGGGTGTAATCACACCAATCGATCGATGACATCGATCAATGGTGGAATGGATTAGTCGACGTCGATCGAGCTGCTTGATTATTCGAGAACCCGCCCCGCTCCACCGGCCGCGTTTTTAAAGATACTGATGATGAGCCCTGAGATGAGATTAATTGTCGGTCGACCTCGATCGGTGATTGAACAACGTTTTACCGACCAGTATCCGTCGATCAGGTAAAGCTACAACACCAATCGAACGACATTGATCGACGTCGATCAATGGCATCGATCTACAATCAATCGGTTGGTGTGGTAACAACACCCCTATAGAAAAAAAATATCTGCAATGATAGTGGCTACTTTTTGGCACAAATGCTACATTGCTTCCGAAGCCGTGAGCCGAAGCTAGTGCCATATAATGATTTCTTATATTTACGCGAACACTACACATTTAAATAAAACTAGTTTTTACGTATTTTATCGTGTATAATAACTTATTGTTTTTCTAAAATAAAATTAGCCTAAGTTACTCCTTATAACATAAGCTATCTGCCAATGAAAGTCCCGTCTAAATCGGTGCAGCCATTTCGGATATTTGTCCGGTTGGTTGTTTGTTCGGAGATTAGCCGGAACAAACAGTCTATCTGTTTGTTCCGGCTAATCTCCGAACAAACAGACAGGCAGACAAAAATATTAAATTGTTTTTGTTACAAGTATCGTATATACTTTCACATGCATTTAAATCTGTTTGTATAGGTATTGAGATTTCGAACTGAAAATTATTATTATCAAAACAAAATATAATCTATGTTACTTACAGATAATGTAGCTTTCTATGAGTTTTGGCGGGAACTTGGCCGTTGACGGATTATTGCTCCTGTTTTGTCGTTTGAATAATGGTTTGAAGTGGATTTTAATTCGTAAAAGTGATGAGATTTTGTGAATTAAGTATCTGCGCGTGTGAACTGTTAAATAAAAACGACGAAACAAGTGCTTTGGTGTTGATATAAACCTCAAGTTAATTTGACCGCTTGAGCGCCTTATGAACTTGAGTGGCTGTCGTCATCAACTGTCCGTGGGGTTGTGCAGTCGTCAAAATCTCCCAAAAACTTCGCAATGTGACGCATTAGCATATTGTGAAGAAAAAATATGTAAAAATAAAGATACAAATATATAAAAAAAATGATAGGCTCAGAAGGGCTAGAACCCAGAGCCGTAAAGCCAGTTAATAAAAGAAAATTAGCTTTTTATAAGTGATAGCATTTCAGATCAGTTCAATAGTTCCAGAGATTACGTCTCCCATACATACCAAAATAAATTTTACCTCTTTATAATATAAGTGTTGATGGGTGTAAAAGTATAGACTTAATGATTTTGTTCTTTTAAAACTATGTGAACTAAAACGAAAACTGTACTATGCTCATACTCTTTGTGATTATAAGCAATTATTAATTTGTTGTTTAAAGTAAATTGTTATTTATCATTAATAATTTTAGTCGGCTTTGATGTTCCTTGTTTGTAAGTTGTTTATCACTACGCTAAGCAGTGATTATTGATTTCAATAATAATAACGAATTTATGTGTAAATGTTATTAGTTAAATCATTCAAATAAATTATACTATGAGATAGTTTAATAATATATTTATTTGAATTTAATTGCCTCAATGTGAGGTGCAGTTTGATTGCTAGCCTTCATATTATTGTATTTATAGTTAATAATACATAATTTATAGTCCCCATCACGAGAAGCTATTAATTTTGTAAACACACATTCAGGGGTTCGCAACTTTTGGATCAAATAAAAAAACAGTTTTGTAATGATTATATTTTTATATAGGGATATAAAACCCTCTCAGAAATGAGGGGAGGCCTGTGCCCAGTAGTGGGACGTATATAGGTTGTAACTTTTACTTTTTATAGGGATATAATTATGTTAACACACGCATCTAATTACTGTCGTCAGACGATTCTGAGTATTCTGTTTCAGAATCAGTTAGATGGATAACAGAACTGTCTACCGTGCTGTGCTATCTATCCTTTCATCAAGTTTGCTATAAAAGTTATTTTCTTCCTTGTTAACGTGCTCCACATTCCTTCCGCCTTTCAACAGTAATCTGCTGCAGTCCTTGTTGGAACAATTACTTCATCTTATCAAATTTAATACTTGTGTTGTGTTGTTAGCAACATAACTACGAAACCATTAACACTTCCTATGTGTGATGATTATTCGTCTACCCTTTGAAATTGGGCTACGGGCACCAATCCGGCACTAAGTCCCTCTAGGAAATCCTGCTTCTTCTTTTTTTTGACTTAAAAAAATACTAATCTAAGTTACTTTATATATGTAGCAAAATGGAGCTGCCCTGGCAACTCCAAATATTACCTGTCATGGCGGCGACTCTCAGCTGCACATTATTTAGCGAACAGCGGAACATAGTAGCTCTACCTATATATTTTTTCCAATTCACGAAATTATTTTACTTTAAGGATTAATTCACGGGGAGCACTTTTCAACACTGCGTTCCAAAATAACATTTAAAAAAGAATCGTTCTGAGCACTCTTATGGTTCTGAGTAAACTTAGTAATTATATAATCTTGATTCTAAGGGGTCCTTCTAAATATTAGTATACTGGTGGTGGGAACTGTCAAATTTAGTTCCCGTTTTTGCCGTAGGTCTTCAGTGGTGGCGTGAACTTTACTTCAAAATGGCGACCCAAATGTTTACGTTCCATGCATAGGGTATAGAGGTAAAGAGAACTGTCTCACATGGAGAATAGTTGAAAAAGTGTCCATCTGTAAGAAGTAAATAACTGTTCAAAAACTCCCTACAACAGCACTAGAGTAGCTAGAGGGTATGAAATGAACTTACGAGTTGTCGACGGAGTGAAGTGTGCTGAGTTGAGGAATGTAATATTTGTGGTGACTAGAGTAGTTGATGAAACTTCAGCATTTAAAACCTCAACTAAGTAGAAAAACTCGCCATAAAACACGTTGAGAATGATATTGAAATTAAATTTTTTGAAAACAATAAAATAATTATTATAAAAAAGAACTATGGTGGAAGTTTGTGCTATAAAAAGTTACAAAAAGTTCTTTAAAACTTATCCTCCAGCTACAGTGGCGCTACCCTTATTTAACGCTTTTCCATGGACACTTTAATACACAGAGACGATTATTCTTACCTCTACACTCCATGATTCCATGAGTCAAGCGCGTTTCAGTACCGTCAACCACGGCATCTTTACCATAATTTTGAAGAAAAAACTTAATAAACGGAAAAATAAAACGCTTATAAATAAACTCTTCTTTTTAATCGATGAATATAGTACTTCTACAATGTTTTATAAGTGCGCTGCTCCTCATAGCTGCAAAACCACTAAAGCAGCACCAAAAACATAACACAGGTAAAGATGCCGCAAAAATGGCTACTTTACCTATACCATATATCTCGATAAAATGAAGCCCTTATAACTGAAATTGGTAAAGATACGCTTTCGCTTTACACTCTCTGTTTAGACATACTGGTATTTTAATTAAAAAAGATATATACGAGCAATACAGGCTGATAGGTAAAGATAGCATAGACTCCATTGAAATTCTCATACAAATGTAATTTATTATCAGGGCTGCCACTTGTTTAAAAATGAAGTTAAAATGTAAGGTTATAAAAACATTGATTAAATGCAAGTCAGATACTCGCATGGAGTGTTCTTTAAATACCATGCAATAAACTTGTAAACATTGTAAAGTATATAATGTATTTAAGGTACTAGTTGTCACATATTTATCATACTTATACTATCATAGTTTCAGCCAAAGTGTATTGAAAATAAAACTAAAAGTATTATTCCAATTTATATTTAAATTTTACATCAAAATATAAAATTCCACGCCGGTTTTTATAGGGGTTGGGTAAAATTTGCACTATATCATTTTCGAATACAATACTTGTACCGGGTACTGTGGGCCAGTAAAACCCGCCATTTTTATGTCTCATGAATTTTGCGAAAACACCTTCACGGTCGAATATTTTCGTAATCAGGCCGCAGTAATACTTATACGTATTTTTGGTACTTTTAAACTTTACCAAGATGTATTGTCCTTCCATATATAAACTTTCGGCTTTATTTGCCTTCTCATTTTGTTCATTTTTTGTCTCTTCTTCTGACAAAGTCTCTTCTAGTCTAGGTCGTTTTATCTTCAGTCCTTTTTTTTCCATCGTTTTCTATTTTATATTCATTTACCATCTGTTTTTCCACATTCTGTCCGTTCCTTTCATCACTTTCTATCCTTAAGTTTTCTTTCTCGTGTCCTTTTGTTTCCAATTCTTTCATTTGTTCCTCTATTTCCTGTTTTCCACATTTTTCTTTCTCCTTGTCATTTAACATCTCGTTTTTTATCCATACATCACTTTCTGTTCTCAAGCTTTCTGTCTCATGTCCTTTCGTTTCCAAATAGGTCATTTGTTCAACTTGTTCCTTTTCATCCATTTTCTGATCTTCTATCAGTTGTCTCAATAAGTAATCCTGCATGTCTTCAATTGAATCATAATCCGAAGAATCTACATACTGTACACAGCAGTCAGAGTTCGAATCCGAAGAATTATCTTGGAGGTTTTTGGTTCTTATGCTCTTCCTTTTGACATCTTTTTTCAAATGAGTATTTAAAACAGATGGTCCAGCGTTTTGTAATTCTCTTTTTATCGTAATACCAGATGGTCCAGCTTTTCCTTCTTCTTTCCTTGTCGTTTGTGCTTTTTTATTTTTGTCTGTTTTAGGCAGTATTCTAATTTCTGAGAGAATAGTTATTTTTGACTTCTTTTTTTCTGGTACATCGTCGTGCACTACTTTTTCACCATTATTTACAATAAAATTTGTTTTGCTTGTCATTTCACTAGTTTCACTCTGTTTATTTTTCTTGGTTACGTTTTTAGTCATATCCAAGCTTGTGACAGATTTTTTCATCTGCGACATTAATTTTTTTATTTATATTTCGCCTAATTGGGTTTTGATTCAGATTCTCTTTTAGATAGTCCAGTAAAGATTTATCTACGTCATAAGTAATCTCTTCACAGTATTCCGGAATTTTTGAATATACTTTCTGTGGATTATACGGAAATATGCCCGTTGCTCTAAATCCACTGATCAAGTTATAAGCTTTATTTAAGTTTACTTCAATTAATTGCTTCAAAAGTAAAGGAAAGTGCATTTTATTGAGAGACGTCTGCTTTGGGTTTTCTATTTTATATTTAAAAAGAATTTTTCTCCACGTTCGTTTAAGTGGAGCAAAAAATGCAACATCCAGAGGCTGAGTTAAGTGCGTAGAATTGAGTGGTAGTAACACGAATCTAATATTGTGACGCTCGCAAAGTTCTACCACATCTACGTTAATGTGGCTTGAAAGATTGTCTCCTATAACCAGCTTTGGTCCTTCTAGACGTTGAGCCCACGGTATTACTATTGTTGTGAACCAATCCATGAACATGGCAGAGTCGAACCAGCCACTTTTAGTTCGATTATAACGCGCACCTTCTGGAACTCCATCACACCATTGTGTCCACATATTTTCAGATTTATAGACGACGTAAGGAGCTATATCACCACTGGGTGTTCCGGAAAACATTATAGAAATACAACCTTTTGAGTAGTTTACTGTTCTTTCCGGATATTTGATTCCCCGGCGGAAAATGCATTTGACTGCCCCGGGGTCATCGCTGACATTTGTTTCGTCGTAATTGAGTATATGAGTAGCCGGCAAATCTTCAACACAGCACTTTAAATTTTCAAAGTATATTTTAAAATCTTGAACGGATTTTTCGGTTCTCACTTTTTTATGTTTTGAGTAGATCTCACGGTAAGCTTATCGTGGTGTTTTTTTAAAGAAGTTCTTGACCCACCAGTCACCTGGAGGATTCTCATTAAAAATATAGGCTTTATTATTTTTTTAAGATAATCAAATACAATCATACGGAAATCCATTTGTGTCAATGGACATCCAAATTCAGATGCAACAATAAGAACTTTTATAAATCGGAGCTCCTCTTCCTCCGTGAATCGGTACCGTGGACCAGGTTTGTTAGTGTGTAAGTTCTTTGCCCTTTTTTCTATCGTACGGCGTGGTATTCCAAATTGTTTTCTGCGTCATAAGATGACACATTTTTGTTACGGACCATTTCAACAGCAAGAGTGAGCATTTCTTCGGAATAGTTTTTATAGGCCCTTGCTCCTATTTTTCTTCGATTTCGTTTTTTAGGTTTAGGGCGAGTCATATTGAAATTTATCTGAAATTAAGTAAACTAGGTAAGTACCAACACCAAAAGCATTACTTCTTTGTCGCGAGGCAAGCGGTAGCGGCGGTTATTTGGCGCCTCCAGGTCTTCAACTATATCCATGCAATAAATTACGTCAACCCTCCTAAAGCTAAAACATTTACGTATAGAGACCGGTAAAGTATGGTGACAACCCTAGCTACAGGTAAAGACGTCACTGTACAAACTGTGGCAACTTTACCTAGCCTCAACTATCATTACCTATGCAAATTTCTCTTAAATTTGTTAAGAAATCACCATTATAACAGTTTCCACGTCTTCTTAGGAAGTTTATATATAATATGTATCAATTCTACTTACCTCAGATAAGTGAATTCACAAGCACAATTAAAATTTCGACCAGAATCTGCTGCGACAAGTGTCCCGCGAGTATCAACAAACGTTTATAACTTGTCATTTGACAGTGCTGCCAGTATTAAAAAAATATTATGTGACCATTGACTCATTACGAAACTACTAATGTGTCTATGAAATATCTACCATTAGTAGTTTCTGATAAAAATGATTTTTCTTATAACTTGTCAGTGGTAGGTAAAGATGACAAGGGAAGGTAAAGATGCCTTAGTTGACGGTACCAAAAAACATTAGACCACAGCGCTTTATATCGTTAAAATATAACCCGACCAAGTGAAATTACTCGTCTATTTCGTATTACACGTAAGTTACTGTGAGTTGATTGTATTTTCGATTATTTGTTGTTGATTGAAATGTCGCTACGTAACTTAGAAGTTATTTATTTACCAAATTTATAGCTTCCCGTGACGGGGACTTTAGTATCACTCAGGCTATGAACATAAGTATAATAATAATACTAGATGTGACGCCCGACGTTGCTTGGCCATAATGCTAGGTTGACAGGAGTAATAAAGGATAGCGAAAGATGTGTTTGGTTCGAACTTTCTGTCAAAATGTGAGCTTATTCTTACTGTGCATTCGAAATTTCAGAAATTTTCTCTAGCTTTATGATTTAAAGATTGAAGAGGGTTACAGGATAATGTTGTCGTCATCTTTGTTTTTTTTTCCCGAGCCTTGGTCTCTATCTCGGATATTGAATATGCCTTTTTCCAAAATATTCATTTGGCTATAACGATTTCTTATATTTACGCGAACACTACACATTTAAATAAAACTAGTTTTTATGGATTTTATCGCATAAATGAACTTACGTTTCGAGCACTTTACTTCACCCATGGGGGGACTGACTGGTCAATGAGTCCCCCCGTGACCATTGGTGCTAAGTACTCGAAACTTCGGGAATATAAAATATGTTAATATACGCGATAAAATCCGTAAAAACTAGTTTTATTTAAATAAATATTCATTTGGTTTCTTATATTCAGCTATGTTCTTGCAACATTACCACTATCGGCTTTTGAAATTTCACGTTGCTCTATAAAATAGCCCAGTTTGTAGGATAATTTTGATTTTGAGCAATTATATTATTTTGTATCATTTTCTCAGAATACGTTTCCTGTTTTCAATGTGTTTACGTATAGGATGTTCAAGATGTCGGATACTTTTATTCCTTTTTTCTTTGAATCTGAGAAGAAAGTATTAAATTTGACGTTTAGGTTCTCTATGTTTATTTAACTCCTCTTGGTGACTGTACTGTGCGAGCTTTGATGAAGAATTTGTTTTTGAAGATGAATACTTCGCTGGTGCCCTATTCTTGTACATTATAATAAGTCATACGATTATATACGTAGTTAATATAATGTGTATAAAGGTGCATTTAATATGATTTTACATAACTAAACATAAATTAAAACACCAATTATATTAGTGTAATACGTAATTATTTCATTTTAAAATAATTATTACCTAGGCGCAGAAGGTACGTACGTCAAAATAAACTCTAATGATAAGTATGGTTTTGCAAGTATTTATGTGCACAAAATACTGTAGTTTTTGATACAGGTACCAATTTTATACTATCTTATATACTTTAAAAAAACCGTTTAATGTAAACTGGCAAGTGAATAGCTGATAACCGTGAGTTCATTGACCCACGGGTCCCGCTTGTCAGTTTGTTAATTTATTAAATAATAGCTTTTACTTAAGGCTCCGCTCGCGTTTTATTATACTTTTTTAAACGGATAGTAGAAGCAAAGTTATTAATTTTATAGAAATTATAGAGTTTCTTGAAGCACAAGTTAGTTTCAGTAGATTATTTACTACAATCACTAATAAACGAGTTTGTAACAACAATTAGTACTAACTTGAATATAGTTCATTAGATAAAAACTAGGTTCCAATGACGAAACAACAATTTTTAGTTTATATAGTGATGAATGGTGAAAATTATTTGCATTTTAACATAAGAAGTTAACGATTTATAGTCCCATATTAACTTAAAATAATTAGTTATTTATCATATAGTGGTGATATAAGACTATTCACTACCTCATATCGTCCTGTCGGGTGAGCAGTGGGAGCGAAATGAATCAGAAGACGGGCAGGCGCATCTTTCCTGAAAGCAACCCAAAATAATAACTGCAGATTACGTGGTAGAGCCATGCTGCAGTTATATTAGTAGTATAGTTGTAGCACGAATGGGTCGGCTCGACCGGGGAAGGACCACGCTCTCACAGAATACCAGCGTCAAATAGTAGCTTAATGCTGCTGTGTTTCGTATGGTGAGTGTAGAGAACCGGCGACCCTTTTTACTGGAAACGAGGCATTCCATCTTAGTCCTCACGGGTGACAACGCATCTGCATTTTGATTCGTAATCGAGGATAGATGTAGATGTCTATGGGCCACAGCAACCACTTACCATCAGGTGGACTGTGTGCTCGTTTGTCATCCAATCCTATAAAAAAAAGACGTCAAACTGCTTTTCAATATATCTCCCCTATGAGACAGTCTACGTGGGAGACCTATGTTCAGCAGTGGACTCCTGATAAGTTGTAATGTGAATAAATGAATGAGTCCCTATGAGTATAAGACGAAGCGGGGTTCATAGGTAATGGACCCATAGACTACTATAGTGATTAAGTAACAATCTAGAAATCATTTATCGAATAAAATTTCACTCTTTGGAGGCCTATTTGATGTCTCTGTATCTTATAGTTATTGAATGTCTGTCATTTCTTAAAAAAAAAAAACATTTACTACAAAAGTCTTAATGTGTAGTTTAGGTATTTACTGTAAATAATTTTACATATTTCATACTAAGTATTATTTACTTTTAAAATTTTGCATCTCATGTATGGTAAAATGTTTAACAACAACAGAACACTTTTAATTTGAACCAAAACGTGTATTTTTCCTCTTATAGCCTTGTTGCTATAAGTATGTTACGAAATTAGACTGATCTTTTATTTATTTGGTAGATGTTGATTGCTTAGTCAGGATAAAAACCTGTAAATTTAACTACATGTTATAGCCAAAAGATCAAATAATTCGATTTAGATAAAACCGTAGCAATAAATTCTCTCCTGTACCTTTAACTAAAACTAAAGAATTAATGCAGCACACACCGCAAACCGTAAATCACGTTCCACTACTTAGAAATCGAGTTATATGGTCAAGTTGGCTATATAATTCTATTGCATTAAATTAAATCGATTAAATTCAGAATAATTTTTCATAAATGGAAGATAATAGGAATTTCAAGTTAAATCTTGAAAGTAAAAATAGAACTGATTAAAGACGATATTATGTAATTAAGAATAGTGCATAGATTATATAAGTGCTTACATTTTGTTTGGAGTGTAGTTTCTACATGTAAAAAACCTAAAAGGTAAGGTTATAGTAAAATGTAAAAGTACAGAATAATATGTCGAAAAACAAATTTTGTATGTTTATATATTACAGATGTGAAATAATCTGATTTATGTAATATGCATATGCACATCTAATTGAGTTAGTGTGTGAAAATTATCACACATCAATCAATCGCTGTAGAGTATTTTGTTTACAAAATTCTTTTATTTTAAATTTATCAATTATATGTAACCACGTAATGCCTTAATCAATTGTTTCTTAATCTTTTGTATCGGGATCGCGATAATAGACACATTATTATAAAAACAAACTAACACTTTCATATCATTGCATTATCACATTTAGTATAACACTTGTTTGCAATTTAATGGTCATGTGCCATACAAAGGAAAATTTAAAAAAAATCCTTAGTTTCATCGCGTTCAAAATCTACGATTTTTAATCACATGTAATGTAAGGCATCGGCCTTAGTCCAGTTATGGCCAGGTATAGTACGTCGAGTACTCGAGTACCCCCAGGGGTACGCGGGGTTGTCTGAAGAGGTACACTCTTGACTAAAGTAAGGGC